TGAGACCGTCTCACTCATGTTTGTCCTCATAGTCATGTGTAGAACCTATTAATCCATGTTTGGATAAGTATGGGTCCATTTAGTTCATCTTATACACTACAAGTGAGTTTCCACAATGTGGAGGCACAGAGGTACATTTCGGACTCCTTACCTCTTCCGGTTCCCAAATTTGGTCCATTTGGTGTTCCTCCCTTGGATTGAGACCGTTTCAGTCATGTTTGTCCTCATAGTCATGTGGAGAACCTATTAATCCATGTTTGGGTAAGTATGGGTCCATCTTGTTCATCTTATACAACTAGATGGACCCATACTTACCCAAACATGGATTAATAGGTTCTCCACATTACTATAAAGACAAACATGAGTGAAACGGTCTCAATCCAAGGGAGGAACATCAAATGGACCAAATTTGGGAACCGGAAGAGGTAAGGAGTCCGAAATGTACCTCTGTGCGTCCACATTGTGGAAACTCACTTGTAGTGTATAAGATGAACTAGATGGACCCATACTTACCCAAACATGGATTAATACGTTCTACACATGACTATGAGGACAAACATGAGTGAAACGGTCTCAATCCAAGGGAGGAACATCAAACGGACCTAATTTGGGAACCAGAAGAGGTAAGGAGTCCGAAATGTAACTCTGTGCCTCCACATTATGGAAACTCATTGTAGTGTATAAGATGAACTAGATGGACCCATACTTACCCAACCATGGATTAATAGGTTCTACACATTAATATGATTACAAACATGAGTGAAACGGTATCAATCCAAGGGAGGAATATCAAATGGACCTCATCTGGGAACCGGAAGAGGTAAGGAGTCAAAATGTACCTCTGTGACTCGACATTTTGAGGAAACTTAGTTGTAGTGTATGAGATGAACTAGATGGATCCAAACTTACCCAAACAGGTATTAATAGCTTCTACACATGACTATGAGGACAAACATGACTGAAACGGTCTCAAACCAAGGGAGGAACATCAACTGGACCTAATTTGGGAACTGGAAGAGATACGGAGTCCGAAATGTACCTCTGTGACTCCAGATTGAGGATACTCACTTGTAGTGTATAAGATGAACTAGATGGACCCATACTTACCTAAACATGGATTAATAGCTTCTACACATGACAATGAGGACAAACATGACTGAAACGGTCTCAATCCAAGGGAGGAACATCAAATGGACCTAATTTGCGGAACCGGAAGAGGTAAGGAGTCCGAAATGTACCTCTGTGACTCCACATTGTGGAAACTCACTTGTAGTGTATAAGATGAACTAGATGGACCCATACTTACCCAAACATGGATTAATAGGTTCTACACATGACTATGAGGACAAACATGAGTGAAACGGTCTCAATCCAAGGGAGGAACATCAAATGGACCTAATTTGGGAACCGGAAGAGGTAAGGAGTCCGAAATGTACCTCTGTGACTCCACATTGTGGAAACTCACTTGTAGTGTATAAGATGAACTAGATGGACCCATACTTACCCAAACATGGATTAATAGGTTCTACACATGACTATGAGGACAAACATGAGTGAAACGGTCTCAATCCAAGGGAGGAACATCAAATGGACCTAATTTGGGAACCGGAAGAGGTAAGGAGTCCGAAATGTACCTCTGTGACTCCACATTGTGGAAACTCACTTGTAGTGTATAAGATGAACTAGATGGACCCATACTTACCCAAACATGGATTAATAGGTTCTACACATGACTATGAGGACAAACATGAGTGAAACGGTCTCAATCCAAGGGAGGAACATCAAATGGACCTAATTTGGGAACCGGAAGAGGTAAGGAGTCCGAAATGTACCTCTGTGACTCCACATTGTGGAAACTCACTTGTAGTGTATAAGATGAACTAGATGGACCCATACTTACCCAAACATGGATTAATAGGTTCTACACATGACTATGAGGACAAACATGAGTGAAACGGTCTCAATCCAAGGGAGGAACATCAAATGGACCTAATTTGGGAACCGGAAGAGGTAAGGAGTCCGAAATGTACCTCTGTGACTCCACATTGTGGAAACTCACTTGTAGTGTATAAGATGAACTAGATGGACCCATACTTACCCAAACATGGATTAATAGGTTCTACACATGACTATGAGGACAAACATGAGTGAAACGGTCTCAATCCAAGGGAGGAACATCAAATGGACCTAATTTGGGAACCGGAAGAGGTAAGGAGTCCGAAATGTACCTCTGTGACTCCACATTGTGGAAACTCACTTGTAGTGTATAAGATGAACTAGATGGACCCATACTTACCCAAACATGGATTAATAGGTTCTACACATGACTATGAGGACAAACATGAGTGAAACGGTCTCAATCCAAGGGAGGAACATCAAATGGACCTAATTTGGGAACCGGAAGAGGTAAGGAGTCCGAAATGTACCTCTGTGACTCCACATTGTGGAAACTCACTTGTAGTGTATAAGATGAACTAGATGGACCCATACTTACCCAAAC